CCTAGAAACCCAAAGCTTCGAACCTCAAACCTGAACCCTGATTCCGAAATCGTTACGGCTCACTAAACTGGACTTCTAAACGGAACTTGTAAAGTAAATGCAAACTGAGTACTGCTGGGGAACCCTTGTTTGATGAGGTGTCCGACTAGGATGCCGGATGCGCCAAAAAAACAGAAGAAATTGCCTGGCAGTCAAGGCGGGTTTAGGCTGTCACCAAGGGTTTGGGGATTTTTGTAGAGGTTAGGATTTAGGGTTCACGGTGGGTTGAGGGCTAAGGGGTTTAGGGTTTTGGGGCTTGGGGTTTATCTTAAAGGTTCAGGGTCCCGGGCTTAAGGATTTAGGGTTCAAGGGTTTCAAGGCTTAGGCTTTCAGGGTTAGCGTTTATGGCGTAGTGCTTGGGTTTTGTTTTGCCTCCGGGGGTTTAGGGTGTAGGGCACCTCACCTCAAGCGCCAAAGGCACCAAAAACCCTACAAGGTTGTCAGACATAGTAAGCGAATTAATAGAACAAGTAGATGGCCAGAATTACGGTACTCTATTACCTCAACAAGGTCCATGTCGAGCCAAAACCTAAACCTCCACAAACCTACAACCATGAGCAAAAGCCCCAAACCTTACAATCAAACGTGGCGCAGCCTTAGGAGCAGAAGACCTCGCACATAGATTGGAAATCAAAAAACCCGAAAACCAACCAAATCATCTACGATCTCGCTAAGCGTTCTGGTGGATTTCAATACGATAAGGATGTTTACAGATCAAGGTTCGTAGGATACGCTGAACCCAGAGCCCACGACCCCTAGAAAAGGATCCGTATTTCTACAACTCCAACATTGAACTTTGCAGAGCATTACTAAGAGGACCAGCCCGGGTCTGGTGGGTTCTAAACATCATCTCACGGAAGAGCTTTTTCTGAAATGGCTTCCAGCTGAAGAAAGGGTTCAATGAAATGAGAGTATTTTTGCTTTTGTAGGGTTGTTTAGGGCCGAAAGCTTAGGGTTCAGGCTTACGTGAGAATCAAAACACCACGGCGACAGGCCTCTGGCGAAGCCCTGCGCGCCGAGAACACCTGCTCATGGGTGCTTCCCTCATCTAAACCCTGTCAAGACTCTTCTAAAACGCTTGAGGGAACTCCACACAGACCCTTACTTATTGAACCCGTCAAGGCAACATTCATGGGTCCCCCCTCTGACCCCTTCCTCCCTAAACCCTAAACCCTAAACCCTAAACCCTAAAAAGAGCTTGGGCTCATGCGCATCAAGGCTGGCACGACCCCCCCTCCACCACCCCTTTGTCGAGTCATGCGGCTTCTCTCTCAATAGAGGGTTCCAGACCCTAAACCCTAAACCCTAGAGCGTTTCAAGGCTGGCATGGTGGGAACGCGGAATGCATACACCTTCAGAAAACTTGAACAGAACCGTTAAAGAAACCCTAGCTGTGCCTAAACAACTCTTGAGGGACCTAGACAGACCCTTCCAGAACCCTTAAAGAAACCCCAGCTGAGCTTAGCCTCCGAAACTCTTAAATGACCTAAACAAACCTTGTAGAACCCTTAAAGATACCCCAGCTGAGCTTCAAAAGCTCTTAAATTAAACAGACCCTTCAAGAGCCCTTAAAGATACCCTAGCTGAGCCTAAAAAAATCCTAAAGGACCCAAACAGGCCCTTGCGGAACCCTAAACCTCCTTTTTGCTTAACGAGGTCTCTCTGAAGTGCCTCCAAGCTGCCCTAAACCTAAACCCTAAAGCTCAAAGAAGCCCTTATAGAAGCCTTAAAGAAGCAACCCTAAACCCTAAACCCTAAACCAGCCCTCGCTGAGCCTCACAGATCCTCACAGGGGTGTAAGAGAACTGTGACTCTGGCGAGAGTGCGCACGCGTGCCAGCTGAGTGCCTCTGGACCCCAAACATCAGACAAATTCTACCGCTTCAAGGGTGTCTGAAAGGGTTTAGGGTTTAGGGTGTTTCGGCATAAAGTAATATAGGGGCCTGAATAATGACCCATGCTTATTTTGCGGGCTGCTTATCAAAACTCCAGCATATTATACCCCGAAACCCTCGTCTAATTATTAAGGCCCCCCTACATTACCTTTTAAAGGGCTCTAAAAGGGATCTATATAAGGGATTGGGATATAGGGTTCGTCTACCTCTAAAGGGGGTCGAAGGGATCTACACGGGTTTAGGATTGAGGGCTTCATCAAACAAAGTCAGAGCTAAGAGTTTAAGTGTTACGGGGTTAGGGTTTCGACTCACACACTCGCAAAGCAGGCATGGCAATAAGTGTCCGGGCTTGCTACATGGACATGCCTAGCTGCCAGGACAGAGAGCAAAGTAACACCAGGGTTTAAGGGTTGAGGGCGAAGCTACAAGGGTTTGGGGTTTGCGGTTGGGAATTCTTGGGAAGGCTAAGGACCTAGAGTCTATAATGTAGAGGCCTTCATAATTAGAATAGGGCTTTGGGGCCCATGATACTATGATTATTATAAGGAACCCCCAAAATAGTATCGGTAATTATTTAGGCTCCTATATTAGGCTTTAGGGTTTGGGCTTCAGCATTTGGGGATGAGCGCAGAGAACCTTAAACACTCCTTTTCAAAGTCTTGGGAGGATGTGGCGGTTACCTAAGCGCTGAACCTAAGACATAGAGGGTTTAGGGTTCAGGGTTTAGAGTTTTTGTTTAAACTCTCACAACTCGGACAAGCCAAGTTTTTGTTTAGGGTTTAGGGTTGGGAGGGTCGCTTGCGGCAGGAAGCAGGCACAAGGAGATGAGGAAAACGTTGGGGAAATAGGTTGTTTCGATTTCCGGATTCAGTTTCCTAATCGTTGCCATGGCAGAAGCAGAAACCGCTCGATTGATTAAACCACATGTTGCTAATCTATTGCCCCATATCGTTCGGATACTGGTTGCTGTTGCGAATGCTATTGTTCCATCTTTGCGCACCCGCTGACCGAAATTCAACTGGACTAAACCCGGACAGCCGGTAAGAGGGTGTAGAGGTCTAGAAATCGCCCTAGACCCGACTTCCTAGACCCATTTCCGCTGCGAACCCAAACCCACTGTCCTCAACTCTTAACCTCCAGACCAGGAAGAGCTTCAAAGCCTCAAGATCACGCAAAACCCTAAATACCCTAAACTCAAAACCCTTCAAACCCTCCAGCCCGAAACTGCAAACCCTATACTAGAAGCCTAAAGCCCTACACCGCCTACTCCGTAAACCCTATACTCCAAGCCCAGCCCGCCAAAAAACCGGCCAAAGTTCTAGCCCTGCAATGGAACCAATGAAAGGAAGCCCTTCCTAATACTACCAGGACCCAATAAAACCCAGCTGTTTAGGGTTTCTTCTTACGGTTTCCATATATGAACCCTGAAGTGGTAGGTTTGTTGTGGGCCCCTAATCCCTAAACCCCTAACCCCTAAGCCCCTAAACCCCTAAACCCTAAACAGGGTGGGGGATAGTCTCAGCGGCGTCGATCGATGCTTCCTGGAGGCCCGTGACCTAGAGGCGATCAAGGCTTTGGGACTGGTGGGTTGGACCTGTCCTCTGGTTTTAAGGTTTAGGGTTTGGGTTTAGGGTTTAGGGTTTAGGGATTAGGGTTTAGGGATTAGGGTTAAGGTTTTCCCTCCTTCTCCTAAGCCCCAATCAGGGTTTAGGACTTGAGGGCTTTAGAGCTTTTAGGGTTTAGGGGTTTGGGATAACATCGACCCTATAATCATAATGATACTGATAGGGTTCCTTTTCGGGTTCCTTGTGCAAAGATTTACCGTTGTGATCTTATAGTAAAGCTAGAGCTCCAATGAGGAACCCTGAGGAATAGTGTTGGTAATCATTCAGGCTTCTGTTTCAGCGTAGAGCCCTGATCAATAAACCCCTTAAGGGTCCTACGATGGCCGTTTTAAACCCTAAACCCCAAAATCCTCAACCCTAAACTCAAAACGGATCCTACGAGCTAGGGTCTGCTAAGGGTTTCGGCGCCACCTCAGTACCCTAAGACTTGCCCAAAGGGTCCAAAGTACCTCTCTCTATATATATATATATGTGGATAGAATGTAGGGTTTCTGTAGTAGGAAGTGTTATTATGATTTGGGAAAGTATCCCCCCATAACAGTACCTAGGACCCTTGGGGTTGGCCATTGTTCAGGGCCTAAGTTTAGGAGGAGTGGGGTTGAAGGTGTAGCTTGCGGGGTAAGGGTTTAGGGTTTAGGGTTTAGGGTTTAGGGTAACCTAGACAAAGCAACAGCGAACCCCTAAACCCCGAAACCCTAAACCCAACAAACAATCACTTCAAGGTCCAGCCTCAAAGTTTCTACTGGGGTTGCGTATTACAAGTTATCCCAAGGGCTACGTTACCTAACTAGTAGGTTGCTGGTGTAGGGTTTAGGATGTAGTGATTAGGGATTAAATTATAGGGTTTCGGATATTTGCGTACATCACTACAATGGTTGGTAAACGGTTAGTACCTGCTATTTAGGGCACAACTTCAAAACTAAGAACCACTTCAGAGAATCTTTGCCGCAGACAGCCGCAACTCGACCAAACCAATATTCCCCGCACTGGAACATTGGATCTAGCGTAGACAAAACCTCCCTCAAGCAACCAAGCGTTATCGACGAAGTAATTTAACAACTGAAAGGTTTGCAGGCCATGGGCTGTTGCTGACTTTCAAGTTCATATGTTGAGGTTTTTACAGCTCGAGCGGCTTAGGGTGAAAGACATCGCACTATGTCGCACTTAAAGCACGGCTCTGTGTTCCTGCCGATCCTGAAGGGATTCATGACACCTAAACCCTAAACCCTAAACCCGCCCAAAGTCCCAACACCCCCTGAACCCCTCAATCCCCAAACCCCGAACTGTGGTCTCCCAAATCTTAGCATGCTGGAGTGTTTTGAGCTTCGGGCTGAGTAGTGGGTTGAGTTTGAGTGTCTGAACCCAACAATCTCTGGATCATGCTGCAAGGCTTAGCACAGTCTTCTTTCTTGGCTTGAAGACACAGTATCTCTACGACATGTTCAGGCTTCCATATTAAACCCTGAACCCCCCGGAACCCTTACATAACCCCTCATACATCCAGAGCACGAAGTTGATCTCCCAGAAGCTCGAGAGTGCCGGTGGGGTGACTGAGACCAATCCGGCTCGTCGAAAGCCAGGAGAATTCCTCGCCGGTAGAAGGATCTGTGGGTTTCAAGGGATTTCGAAGGGCATTTACAGGCTTTTTATTTTCCCAAAGGGTCCTAGGTACTGTTACCGGGGATGCTTTCCCAAATCATAATAACAATTCCTACTATAGAAACCCTACATTCTAGCATATAGGTACTTTGGACCCTTTGGGTTTATATTATAAAGAGGGACACCATGACTAGTGACTAGTACGGGTTAGAACTACAGAGTCCGACCTCATTGACCACTTGGATCGTCACAAAAAATGCCTTCGTTAGACTTGGGGCTGAAAAGCCGAGCCCAAAAAAGGTTAAACGGTTTAGGGTTTAGGGTTTAGGGTTAACCTTTTCAATTATGGTAGGATTGTGTAAACCCTAAAAGGTTAAAGGTTACCTACTCAGCCACTAAGACCACTGCCCTAAAGAAAAGAAGCTATTCCGGGCCCCATTGCTTCAAAAGGGTAGAAGTCAATCTTCCTTGGCTGTTGTAGCGGCTCTCTTCTCTGTGCTAAGGTTCAAGGGTGCGTCACATCCTTAACCCCCTCAGCGCTATCCCATAAATCACAAGTTATCGTTATCCCAAACGTGATCATCTTGCCTGAACAACCGGTAGTTACAAACATCGGCTTCCTGATTGGGGATTACACGGTGGGTTTCAAGGCATTCCAAGCAACCCGAAGCTGCATACCATGTAATGTAGGCGCCTTAATAATTACAATGGGGTTTTGGGGGTTCCTTCTTATGAATATATAGTATAATCCACCCCCAAGCCCTATTCTAATCATTTCGGCCCCTATAATACGCAGCTGAATATGATTTAATTACTGTACTCCTTGAGCAAAGTTTCCTGGGCTCTCTGACTCCGTCTGAATAATAATATTATGACTCTAGAGCGAGTTTGGATCTCCAATCGAGTGCGTCAATCGTTCGGTGACATTCCGGCATGGACCCCACTCTTTTAGGGTTTGGGGGTTTAGGGTTTAGAAAAAGCAGATCGTAGACTCGTAGACCACATACAAACTCGTCAAACGAGCCCTGAACCGCTCTCGGAAAGCCATCAACTTCTCTCAGAGGTGTCCTAGACCACCGAAGCGAGTGCGGACCACTTGAAAAGCACCGACGAGAGTGCCGCATTTCGCCGGTGTCCATTGCACGGGAAGGTCTTCGAAGTTAAAAACCTGCAGCAAACGCGTTACAAAGAGAAAGGGATGCGAGGCCAAAGGACCAGTTAGGATACTCTCAACGGTTGCAGGAGCAGTAGTAGTAGTAGTAGTCGTCGTCGTCGTCGTCGTCGTCGTCGTCGTGGTCGTGGTCGCAATAGTCGTAGTAGTCGCAGTAGTAGTCGTCGTCGTCGTCGTAGTAGTAGTAGTAGTGGTAGTGGTAGCAGCAGTAGTAGTAGTAGTAGTAGTAGTAGTAGTAATAATAGTAGTAGCAGCAGCAGTAGTAGTAGTAGTAGTAGAGGAAGTAGTAGAGGTCCGTAGTAGAGGTCCGTGGTAGTAGTAGTGGGAGGAAGAGGAGCACTAGCAGCAGCAGAAGCAGTACCGCCACATCCCCATAATGAAGTCCTTCATCACTACTGTATGGTTCTGGGAATCACCATGTGTAAGAATCCTGTTTCTCGACTTTGCACTTGCAGGAAGTCTGCCTGGAAACCTGGTTCTTTCTATCGCCTGCAGTTGCACTTGGGTACCATTGGGTCACTTCCGAAGCTGGAAAGCCTTCGCCGACCATTTCACATCATCTCCAACATAAGCATACAAATGGTTTGCACCCATGCAGGACGAACAGATGCAACTGCTTCCAGCAGTCTTGGGATATTCCTGAGCCCGGAGCTCTGCACAGGAAGCCCCGAAACCAAACATGAAGCCGCCCTGTCCCAAGCCTTGTTGGGAATGCTTCCATCGCTATCGAAACTTCGCTGCGCTTCATCGCATACCTTGTGGCTTCGTCTCTTCGAAGCAGAGCTTTCGTCAGTGTGGCACAAACAAATGGTCGCCTAGGGCTTTTATACAGGGGCATAAGATAGAAAGGAAGGCGAGGACTGTAGCTGTCGAGAACCCTAAACCCTAAACCCTAAAGTACGAGGGGCTGATCTCTATGATTCGCCTTTTCGGGCCTTTGGCCGGGGCTTCTGGGCTATGTCGTACTGTGCGATCCTGGCCTTGGTCAGGCCCCGGTTCCGAAAGCCTTATAAAGCAAAGTCTTGATTGGGTTTAGGGTTTAGGGTTTAGGGTTTCCGAAAGCCTTATAACCCAAAGGGTCCATATACCCAAATAGTGTATACTTTGGCCTTAATGTAGTCCGTATATAGGTACTTTAGGCCCAATGTATATACTATTCAGGTACATGGATTCTTGATTCTTACGATGGGACCAGCAAGAAGCCATACCGGCCATCATAACATGAGGTGCTTCTTGTATTGAGTTATAAAGTTCTACCTAGTTTAAGGTTGGCCGTAAAACTCACAGGCCTACAACTCCCTGCGCCCGAAACCCGAAATCAACGAAACCCTAAACCCTAAACCCCAAACCCCATGAACCCCATAAGCCCTGAACCCTCAACGCCCTTCTCCTTCCAACAGGGCGACCTGCTGCAGCAGCTGCAACGTGTGAGGCGACGGAAAGAAATCGTCCAGAGAAACGCCCGCCACGAAAGTGACCGAGGAAGAGGCACTGGCTATGACTTTCACCTCTTCAGAAGAGGTTAGACTCTAGGGTTTATAGGGTTTAGGGTTTAGGGTCTAGGGTTTAGGGTTTAGGGTTTAGGGCCTAGGGTTTATAAGTTCAGGGTGACAGAGGAGGATGCATTGTTTATGACTCTCACCTCTTAAGAAGAGCTTGCTTCTTGGTATAGTCGCAAGTCTATGCCTGAACGGCTTCTGGGAAGCACGAATCGTTGCCATTGAAAAATTATAGCGACTGACAAGATTTGTCTGGCTTTGTAAGTTTTGTAGGGGTCTCTAAAAGGCTTCTGATTCTTAGGCTCCCTTACTAACGAATAGATCTCAAATCACAATGTTGACAGCCCCTCGAAACATTTCACATGGGTAGATCTCTAAATTAGGGTCCATTTCTTGGGGTCCCCAATATAGTACGGCATCCTTATAAAACGGACCCCAAAAGGGACCCTAATTAGGGAACTGCCCACATTCCCCTAAACCCTAAGCCCTAAACCCCTTTTACACAGGCTTGATT